GGAGAGATTGAATTTCCTTTGGCTTGGTACATGGGTGGGAGGGGCAGACGCAGATCCCTGCTTGCAGTGGGATGGGAAGCAAAGGAATGGGATGTGAAGCAAGGGAATGGGATGCAAAACTGAGCACTGGGATGCAAAACTGAGCACTGGGATGCAAAACTAAGCACTGGGATGCAAAACTAAGCACTTCCCAGCAGCACCCAGAGCACTGCCTGCGGGCACCTGGAACAGGAGCGAACCAGAAACACAAGAGGCACACAACATGTGGAGAGGATGAGTTTCCAAGCCTGCAAAGCCAAATTTGATTTGTTCATTTAAATTAAAAAAAAAAAAAAAAAAAAAAGGAGAAAAAAAAAAAAGAGAGAAAAAGAAGCACTAAACCCAACTGAAAAATGCAGCCCTCTAAGGAAGAAGAGACCTGCAGGTCTAACCAAGGCTGTGCCCTTATTGATCAACAAGTAGGAAATAGTGGTCCTGGTCACAAGCAGCCTGGTATTGATAGAGCTGAGTTAATAATGCTTAAGGGAAGAGAAGAAAAGGTCAATGTAGAAGTGAAGAATTGACTGCTGCCTTGTTAGGCCCAGGTGCCTGTATTATTAAATAAAAACTTGGCAGTGCACCTCAAGTAAACCAAGGAACATAAATTATGTAAATTCATCTCCCATCTTTCTGCTGCACTGCATTAAAGGAAGCAGGGTAAGACCCAAAGTACATGATAAAGGGTGGAGATTAAGAGGAAACACATATAATCTTAGAGGTTATAGTATGAATAGATAGGGTCATAAATTAATTTCAGTATGAGGACTGTTAAAATCATCTAGCATAACCCTGGCCAGAAAATTTCCTACAGACCTTTGTTTGAGCAAGAAAACATCCTCCAGAAGGACACTGAGATCTTATTTAAAAGCAGAGCATAATAGAAAAATCACTTTATCATTAATAAGCTAATGCAAAAGTCATGCCTTCTATCCGGTATAAATGTATTTTGTTTTACTTCACAGAGACACTGGCTGTGAGGCAGGAAACTTTGAATGAAAAGGTGTCATTTCCTCATGAAGCCTAGAAAATCTAGGAAGCCATTATGTGTGAAAGATCAAACCATCAATAATTTCAGGCTGGTATTACACATTTAGATGTAGGAAGAGTGTCCTTGTGAAAATTTGCTTCTTTACATGTTGGCACGTTGCAGGTCAGAGATGAGCCTTTACCTGGGCATCCCACTGGGAATCTGATGTTTGGCCAGTTTTCAGAGCAGTAGGATTATCCCAGTAAGTTTGTTTCTGTGTCAGACTTAGGGTTTTCATCCGAGGTGGATGGTGGGAGGACAGCCAGGAGTTATCCAGGTTAACAACTTGTTCCTCATCAGTGATCAACATCATCTCCTGATTAGCAGCTGGGAAAGAGGGTTCTGCACCTTGTGGCCACAGTGCTGCCAGGGCAGCGAGCAGGGCTCAGAGGAACAGCACTGCTTTTGCCCCTGCTGCATCCCTCCCTGCTTTCCAGCTGCTCACAGAAGTCTCTGCCCTACTGCACCACTGGCTTTAGAAAACTTAGAAAGATTCATGCTCTTGCAGGTTGCTGCCTTTGTGTCGGGTTTCGTTGAGATTGAGCAGTGAGTTAACAAAACTGCAGTGAGATAACACAGGGATGTCACAATAAGCCCCAGCCCCATGGGCACCAGGCCAGTCCTGACCTCAGGCACAAGCCCTCACTGCCTCTTGCAGGTTGTTTCAAAGGGAAAAGAGGTGAATCCTGTTTTCCAGAAGTCATGGGTGTCACAAGGAAACCCAAAGCACAGACTGCAGTTCTTCAGAGTTGTTCTTATTTAGCTCCCTGCAAAGCTGCCCTGAATTTGCTATCTAAAACCCTCAGCACCAGGAGTTGGAAATGTTTCGTGCAGCTGTTCACAAAATCAATATTTGCTCAGCTTGCCCGTGCCTGGCTCTCTCCACAGGATCTCGTTTGCTTTGCCTACATGGAACATGGTGGCCAAGGTTGCCAATGCCTAAAAATAACACCTCCATTAGCTGCCACCCCTGATACCTCCTCTTTGTGGAATCATTTCCCAGCAGAACAGGGCTGCTGCAATCATGTTGTCTCTTTGCCTCTTCACCCCATAAATCACTTTCAGATCTGCTGGCCCTTTCAGGGGGATGAGGCAGCAGGGTGGACATCTCAAAGGCAGCTGAGCTTTGCAGTCTCAGCAAAACTACCTAGTGGAGTGGAAGAGAGAGGCTCAATCTTGTAACCCCCAGTGGGAAAAGCTCAGATCCTGTGCCAAAACTCTGTAAGTGAGTAGCAGAGCAACCATCAAGGCCAAGGAAGATGCTCAGCCTGACTGCAGCAGCTTTGATCACAGTCAGTGTCTCTGTAAACAGCTCCTAATCCATGAGCAGGACACAGACCCATGGCACTGTGAGCTCCCAGGCCCATCCACAGCACGGGTGGATGGCTCCAAGCTGCACCTGACGTGATTTAATCCCTAATAACAATATTTAAATGCCTGACAATTGAAGAACTCTCGTGCAGCTTCCCTGTCAGTATATCAGAGTAATCTTTTCTAAGCTGTAATGTTAATCAGGTTTAAGATTACTCCTTTCCAGAGCAGAGTGCCACAGTTAACCCCAGCATGCCATGCATTTATTGCTGGAAGCCATTCTGGAGGCTGGACTTGCTTGGAGACCTGGTAGGGAGCTCGCAGCACCCTGATGTTTCATTTCTAGTCGAGAAACATCAGTCAGGGTTGTTGTATCTCAGTCACCCATCAGACTGATCCAGGGGCTGCCTCCTGCCAGCAGGAACCTACAGTCCCATCTCTGGATGGGTGGGAGCATCCTGGGGCAGAGGTAGCTGAGCAAAGATGGAAATGGGTCTGGGAGATGCTGGTCCCCAGCTGGGGCACTGGGGCTGCCCTGGGGGCTGCATGGTGAGCACTGGCAGGGAGGCAGTGAAGGGTCACAGCCCTGTGCCCCTCTGCCTTGGGGGGATTCACACAAGGTGGTTTTCCTTTTGGAAGGGGATTCTCAGCCCACCTTGGCCTCTTGGTGTAACCTCCCAGCAGTGGGCATTCATCAGCCATTGCCTCCCTCCCTCTGGGATTTGCTCCCTCCCTTGCTGCTGACACTCCAAACCCTGCAGAACAGAGCAGGGAAAATGCACAAATATGTCCTCATTCAACAGATGGCTTGAAAAACCCAGGAGGGCTTAGCCTTGTATAGAAGCCACTTGTTTTAAGGATGCTTCATACACAGAACACATGGTTTCCTTTCATCACTTGTGTCAAGACTTGAGCTGGGCTAAGAGGTGTCACCCCCCTCACCACTGCATGCCTGCCTCCTTTGAGCTATGTTGAGAATCTCTTCACTCCTCTCTCTCTGGTTTGATACTTCCCCTTTGATCTGTGTCATCTCAGGTTTATTTTCCAAGATTCAGAACGAGCCTTGTCAAGCAGGCAGGGGCAGAACCTCTCAGCAGAGGATATTCACTTGTCAGGCTGCTTCTTTTCCACATCAAGTTGGTTTTTTTCCTTTATCTTCCTGCACAGCAGCCAAAGAGGGAACTTCTTCAGCCTGGCCCTAGGAGAAATCTGCCCCTGCCAGGGGCTGGCATGGCTTGGGGATCACATGCAGCTCTACCCAGGTCTGATGGCTTCACACCCAAGTTTGTTGCACTTTATGGTCCAGAGCATGACACTCTGGCCTGAGGTGGGCCTTCCTTTGCCAGAATTGGCTTGGTGGCTTACAGCAGCAAATATTAAGTAGAGCACAAAACTGGCCAATGGGTACCAGGAACCTCTTGTGGTTATAAAACAAGAAAACCAAAATAGCTTTAATGCTTTTCATACTGTGTAGGCTTAAGTGTTTTTTGAAACAGCCTTGGTGTTCCCTGAATGTGGTAAATGAGTTCTGCTGAGTCCTGGAGGGCTCTCAGTGTGCAAGAGGCTGAGTGTGGCAGGGCAGGCAGGTTGAGACAGCAGCAGTTGAGCATCCCCCAGTGAGCTCAGATATCCCCTGTACCTGGATACAAAAGTCCTTTAGGTAGAGGTGCTTTGAGCAAGGGGTAGGTGAGGGCAGCAGCCGCCTTTGCCATAACTATTGAAGGCACTTGTCATCTTTTTCCATCTCATGGGTCTGTCTTGAGCAGTGCTGGGGGCTCAGACGGAGCATGGACCTCTCAAATGAGCTGTGCTGACACAGGCTGCTCTGCCCAGCCTGCTGCCAGCAGTGCACAGGACCTCACTGGGTGGGTAAGAGTGAATCCCACCCCTACAGCTTCCCTGGGCTAGCTCATCTCCTCCTTGGGACAGTCTGGGAACTGGGAGTTGCACTGCCTGCTGCTAGATTGTGCTGTGAGGTTTTATGTGTCACACAGATCATGTCTGAGTTTTATTTCTCTTTAAAGCAAAGATCTTTTTTAGCATGCAAATAAATGCTCTCCTAAAAGGGAAGGCACCATCTGCTCCTAAGCACAAATTTAATTTTCCAAAGGGTTAGGTTTAAATAAGATGCACAGTCTCAGAGTGGTAGCTGAGGGAAACCTGTAATGGGGTTTGGCCCCTTTGGTATCTTGCTGGAAGCAGATGTTTCATTTATGGGAAGGAGACACGGTGCCTGCAATGAAAGAGGGGTTCTGGCAGCTGGAAACTCCACAAACTCCCTGCACTCCTCCCAAGGCACTGATGGTTGAACAGGTGCTTGCAGGTGGGCTCAGAGCACTGACATGGAGACAGAGGATCGGAGGGACACTGCTGTGGGTCGCTCATCCTTGGGGGGCTCAGCGAGCAGGAACCACAGCTGCAGCCAGACACTCTCCTGTGCACAGCCATTGGTGGGCTGAGCTGGAGCAAGGCTGTGCACCTGGCTGGTTTTTCATGTGGGAGTTCTGGGAGCAGCAGCAGCTCAGCAGTTCCAGCAGTGCAGGCCCAGCACAGCACCCGTGGAGCTCTGGTCCCCATCAGCTGAGCCACGGCCCTCATTCGCTTTGCCTCTCTTGCCTTCCAGCCGCTGGTGCTGCTGATGGAGTGGCCTGAGGCCACCAACTTCGCCTGCCTCATCGCAGGCTACTGCCGTCTCCTGGTGGACTCCAAGAAGATGATCCTGTCCAGGGCCCCCAGCCAGCCGCCCCCACCTCAGATTATCAAGGCAGGTACGTTTCAGCCTCTGCTTTCCCTGCCAGCCCCTTCCCCAGCCTGCCCCCCTCCCTCAGCACTCTGCAGCATCAGGAAGGTGAAGGCTTTCCCTGGCATCTCCCCTCTGCTCCCACTCCCCTTGAGAACCAGCAGACTCCCTAATCAACCAGAAAGCAGGGAGACAGGTCCTCAGTTTGGGTTGGCCAAAATGACTTGTGGTATCAGCTCAGGTCCTAAACACCATGAGTTGTCGTGGCAGCTCCTGGAGCAGCTCCAGGAGGTGCTGTTTGAGAAGACCTGTGAAGCTGCCAGCCACATGCTGGGCCCTCCCAGAACAGCCTGTGCACTGCTGCAGGGGTGCAGCACACATTCCTTGGCTGGCATCCTGCCCCAGAGCCCCACATGAGGGTCTGAGCTCAGGGCACTGCATTCCTGCTGCCTCTGGACACCTCCAAAAAGAGCAATGATTCTCAACAGTGATTTCAAACAAGAGCCAACCATGAACTACATGCTGCTGTTCCATGCAGGTCTTCACATCCAATATGTTTTGTACAGGGAAATATAAAATACGGGTTCAGTGGCTGGAGATAGGCAAACTACCAACCCTCTGCCTCTGGAAGGTCACTCCCAGACCTCCCAAGTGTCACTGCAGCTCCAGAGAGCTGTGACAAGTCCTCAGTTTAGCTGCCAGTGTCAAAACTCCCTTCTCAAGATGGGCCTGGCTTGGGGAGCTGGGAGGAGTGCAGAGAGCTCCCGGGGTCCTCAGGAAAGCACTTGGTGCCTTTGGGGAAGGCACTGAACATGGATTTGGCTCATGTGGGAGGACACACTCAGAAGAGGGATCAGGAAAGCATCTGCAACAGCCTCAGTGAATCCAGAAAAGGTCTGGCAGGTGATTTTGGTGTAAGTATAAGCACTTTCCTCTCCTTTCTTCCCCTGTTCCTCTGACTGACAGCTGTCACTGTGCTCTGCCCTGGTCGCCCTATGGAAATGTATTTAATGACATTTTGCTGTGAGCAGAGGGTGTTTGCAACTAAACTGGTTTAATTGTCATCAGGTCCTTCCCTGGTTCCATGCCACCCTGAGATGGACTACAGGGACACATGGGGCACGTGTCTGTGGGGAGTCAGGGACATGGAAAGCACCCCATACCCAACCTCTGTGACCCGTGGAGTGGAGCAGTTTCCTTGCAGACCCAGTGCACTCAGCCCAGTTGCTCAGTCACCCTTCAGAAGGAGTGAATTTAGAGTGCATTGGGGAAACAGTCTGCTCACAGTTCTGGTCTCCACAGGGCTGCAGGCTGAGCTGTCAGAGCTGGGCGGATCACAGGGAGCAGCGACTGCTGATCATTAGCACATCCTTGCAGGAGAAAGCCCCACTGGGATGAATTAAGTTATCCCAGACTTCCCAGGCTGCAGGCAGACTGTGCCAGAATCTTAAATGTAAAATCAAGCTTTGGCCCATGCTTTTACCTAGAAGAGGAGCACATCCATCTTCCCTGAGGCCTATTAGAGCTTCCTGCTGAACAGCAGACGTTTTTAGGAATGCACACCCTGTCCAAATGTTGTCAGTTAGATCCATCTCTCTGCATTTCCCTGCAGAGCCATATGCCAGAGCCTTGCCCTCCGTTGTGCCATGCTGGAGCTACACAGGTGATTCACCTCCCTGTCCCTTCTTCTCCCCACTCTCTCCATCAGCCATCATCAGCCGAACAGCTCTGTGCCCTTAGTTGCTCTCTCAGCTCCCTGTCAGGAAGTTTTCTCCTTCCTGAGCATGCAGCAGCTGGATTTTGGATTTTAGGGGTTTGGCCCCACTCAGCAGCAGGCCTTGGCTTGATGTGGGCAGCCAGCAAGCCTCTGCCTCAGCCTTTGCCACCCTGCTACAGCCCACACATCCCCAGCCTCGGCAGCCTTGTGCTCCCTCAATGACACAGCTGTCATTTCTGAGCGCTGCCATGGCCAGGCATGGAAGAGATTTTGTTTTTATTGGGATTTTAGCATTGCAGGTGATGAACAGTATAATACAAACATGTGTTTGGGGAGACAAATTGTCCAATTTGTTGAGCTAATGAATTTAATTAGGATTTATTTGATTTAATTTATCCTTGGTAAGACAAAACCTGAATCCCCCGGCAGCCACTCTCAGCACAGCTGCACAATCCAACCTGCAATGCAGACAGATGCCTGAGGGATGGACTACTGGCCAGAAATTCAAGCAGTATTTCAGCCACTTTCCCTGCACAAGGGAACAAGGGGAGGGCTGTCACTGGGATATACTTAACAGCAAGAGCAACGGGCTGTGTTACAGCCAGCCTGATCCAAGAGCTGTCAGCCAGACAGAAATAGCACATGGAACACGGGCTGCGAGGGACAAGGGGCTGGGGGGTGTCTGTCACTTGAACACAGCCAAACTACCGTGGATGTCTCCCCAAAAGGCAATATTACTCCTCTTTTGGTAGTCTCCTGATGAACACTGCTTGGTGTGGCCAGCACTACCCAAAAATGGCAACAATTCCTTCTTGCCATATAACGTGTGAGCCGGCAGGCTGAGGCTGGAGGTCCTTGTTGGAGCAGCCAGGTTGCTCCTGCTGCTCTGGATAGAGCTGGTGGATCAGTGATGCTGCACCCACATCTGTGTCTCAGTGTGTGCTGTGCTGGCCAGCCCTCCTCTGGCTCTGCCCAGCTCAGACCCAGCAGAGGGGTCAAGCTCAGGGGCCTGTACTGGGACCGGAACTGTTTCATGTCTTCATCAAGGACACAGTGGATTGAGAGCACCCTCAGCAAGTTTGCAGATGATACCAAGCTGAGTTCTTCAGTTGAAATCCCTGAGGGACAGAGTGACATCCAGGGGGACCTGGACAAGCTCAAGCAGTGGCCCATAGGAATCTCGTGAGGTTCAATGAGGCCAAGTACAAGGTGCTGCAGCCAGGGCAGTGTAACCCCAGTGTCAGTCCAGGGAGATGAACAGATGGAGAGCAGCCCTGCTGAGGACTTGGGGGTGCTGGTGGATGAGAGGCTGCACAGGACCTGGTCTCACAGCCCAGAAAGCCAAGTGTGTCCTGGGCTGCCCAAAAAGGACCATGACCAGCAAGTAAAGGGAGGGGATTCTGCCCCTCTGCTCCACTCTGGTGAGACCCCACCTGCAGTGCTGCCTCCAGCTCTGGGGTCTCAGCACAGGAAGGACATGGACCTGCTGGAGCAAATCCAGAGAGAGGGCTGAAGCACCTCTCCTAGGTGAGAGAGTTGGAGGTTTTAATCTTGAGAAGAGAAGGCTCCAGGGAGGCTTTTTAATAGGGCTTGTAGCTATAGCACAAGGGGCAGCGGTTTTAAATTGAGAGTAGATTCAGATTAGATATAAGGAGAAAGGGTTTTATGATGAGGGTGGTGAGGTGTAGGCACAGGTTCCCATCCCTGGAAACATTCAAAGTTTCCTTGAAACTTTGGCTCTGAGCAACCTGATCTAGTTGAAGGTGTCCCTGCTCATTGGAGAGGGATTGGACCAGATAGCCTTTAAACATCCCTTCCAACTCCTTCTGTGGTGCTGGACACTTCTTCTACCCTCGTTCCTGCCAGCAGGATTTCCAAAGGACCAGCCAAGTGGCCCAGCTGTGCTGCAGGGAATGTGGGTGTCCCACTGCAGTGCTGAGGGCTGGAGGGCAGAGAGCACATGGGTGCTCCTCCAGGGTGAGCAGGAGATTCCCCACGCTGTTTTCCCTTCATCCGGGTGCTGTTGCTAACGTGCCTGTTGTGGTTTTGGTTTAGATTACATCAACGCACACAACTTGCACCGGCCTGCCACGGCAGGGCACGTGGGAAAGAAAGAGAATGGGCTGGTGGGTGGCTCTGCCACTGTCACCGGAGCAGCCGGGGCTTCTGCCAGCAGGGCTTCGGACTCGGAGCTCATCCGCTTCTGCTACCTGCACATGCGAGAGCAGAGGAAGGAAAGAGAGAGCGGGACGGATATCAATGAAAACCTGATTTTTTTTGAGGAAACTCGTCCCAGGACCAAATCTGACCCCACTTCCAAAAGCTCTGGCCAAGGCTACAACGGGGCAGCTAAGGAGTACGACCCGGATGGCCTTGAGCAAGACAGGCACGCGAGCAGGGCCAGGGCACACACCATAGACACCCACCTGCGCAGCGACGCCTCCCACTTCTACTGCGAGTCCTGCCAAGCCAAGATCAAGAGCCGGCTGGCCTCGGGCACGGGGGGCAAGCCTGGCAGCACCCGTGACAACATGGTGGACTTGATGTCGCTTCCCCCTCCTGGGAATGATGAGGAAGAAGACGAGACAACGTCCCTGCTCCCCGCCATCGCCGCCCCCCCTCCTGGCTTCCGAGACAACAGCTCCGACGAGGATGACCCCAAGCGCCGGGCGGCTGCCCAGAGCCAGGAGCAGGGCCGGCACCTCTGTGGCATCCTCTACGACGAGATCCCGGTCACTCTGATCGACAGCGTGCAGCCACGGACGGTCCGAGACCATGCCCAAGAGCTGGATGATGCCCTGGTGTCCACCCTGCAGGCGCTGGAAGCCCTGGCTGCTTCAGAGGATTGTCCACATCCCCCACCACAGCAGACAGCAGGTATTTTAGTGGCTGTGACTCCCTTTTTCCCTATAGCCTTTCTCTCCTACTGTACATCCTTTCCTTTAGTCTCCTCCCGTCCTATAAGTGACTGTGAAGCAGCTTCTAGTAAAAACTAAGTTGTGGAGCAGGCTGTAGCAGGAGCAGCCAAGTTGCTGCTCAGAAGATTTCTAAGAAGCTGAGGTGGGACTCCCTTCCCTGACAGTGGCTGAAGGAGTCTCTTGGTTATCCCGTATCTGCCACATGCCACGATGCTGGGGCGAGTCTCTAACAAACCAGTACTGTGAGCATGGCTTCCTCCCCACTGTGACCCCACTCAGCTGGGACCTTTGGCCATCGGTCTTTGCAGGTTCCCACCCAGGTTTTGCAGTGTGTGAGCCCTTCACAAGGCAAACCTGCTGCCAGATGGGTGACTCTGGGACCAGCCTGCTGGCAGGACAGTCCTTTGTCCCTCGTCCCACCTTGGTTGCCCTACTCACTATGGCAGAGTACCTGTTGCCCAGTTTTCCTTCTTGTGCCAGACACGTCCCTATAGCTCTGCTACCACCAACAATGGAAAGCTTCACAGGATCTTTTCCTGGGCCAGAAGCTCTTGCTGAATTGAGCTATCAAGCCAGCTCAATGCTGACAAGTGATCTCCCTTACAAGCCTTAACTCTTAGTTGTGAGAAGTCACAGAAGTTTCTCCAATGTGCCCTGCATTCCTGGGACCCTCCTGCCGCAAGGAGTTCCCCTCCCCTCACACAGCACTGTGGTGTGAGGGTTGTTGTGGGGTTTTCTTTGTGTCCCTCTTCAGGTCTTATTGTCCTGGCTGCCATCACTCCTGAGTCATCTTTGGACTCTGGCCACGAAACAAACTCCTCAGAGCTGACCGATGTCTCAGAGATGGTCTCTGCTATGAAGCAGCATCAGAACGCAGCCTACTTCCTCACCCAACACATCAACAAAGAAAACCTCCTGGCCAGGAAGGACTTGCCTTTCCGAATCCAGAGCTGTGCTGCCCAGGCTGTTCTCGCCTCACCCTACCCCCTGAGCCGCCAGGACCCGAGCCCTTCACTGAAGCCAGCCTTCTCTGCCCAAAGTCCCAGCCTTACCAACTGCAAGAGCAAGCAGGAGCAGCAGCACGGGGAGCAGAGCTGCACCTCGGCTGCCCAGCTGGGCCTGACCCCCCAGCTTAGTGAGCAGAGCAAGGGGGCTTCCGTGCCAAGCTCCGAGGGCAAAGGTGCAGGTCACACAAAAGCTGCCTTTGAGGTATCTCTGCATGCCACAGCAGCCCCGAGCAGGGAGCAGGCACAGGATCTACAAGCGAAGAAGCCCAAAGAGGTGCAGCCGAGCTCCAAGCTCCTCCTGGATCAGAAAAGTGGTGTAACTCCAGCCATCGTTTCAGCTGCTCTGCAGCAGGTGGCAAATGCAAAAGCCTCAGCTCCCCAAGTGATATCAGCCTTAAAAGAAGACCAGAGCATGAATGGTACCAGCAGCTGTGCACCAGCCAGCAGCAAGCCTTTGACACTTAAAGGAGGTCCACAAACTGCAGAGACGTTATGCAACTGTCAGCAGCAGCAGCAGCAGCAGCAGCAGCAGCAGCAGCAGCAGCAGCAGCAGCACTGTGAGGTTTCTCCAAGTCCTAAGGAAGCTCCTGGCAGTCAGGCTGAAGCTTTCCACCTCGCCTCAGCCGGTGAGGAAATGATATCCAGTAAGACTTTTGCTTCTAAAAGCTACCAGCAAAAAGTGAGCAGAGATGCTCCAGGAAAAGCTGCAAGTGGAGAGACAGGTCAGAAGGCAGGTGGGGAAGCCACAAGCCTCATCTTGCAGAAACACACAGCTCCTTCAAACCAAGGACAGAGAATACAACAGGAAAGCTCAGCCAAAATCTTAAAAGCTGAGAGCAGCAATGTGCACTCTCCATCACGTGGTGGCACTTTCAGGAGCACCAGTGAGGAAGCCAAAGGGCCCATCCAGCTGATGCCCAGATCTGAGAGCTTGCAGACTAGCACTGTGCCTTCCAAAAAAGTAGAAAAAGTCCTGGAGGTAAGCCAACAAGATGCTGATGTCCCAGCTAAACCCAAAGCCCCAAAAGCTCACTTCAGGCTTAGGAACCTGTTCTCTGCAACATTTCCCACCCGGCTGAAGAAGGAGACGGATGAGCGGCAGGCCCAGCTGCAGAAGGTGAAGCAGTACGAGCTGGAATTCCTTGAAGAGCTGCTCAAGCCAAAGAGCAAAGGGGATCTCCCGCCACAGGAGTACCTGCACCCACCTGCCCCTGGGCGCTGCAGCTGCCAGCTGAGGAGCAGTCCTGTGCAGAAAGTCCCAGGGATGTCCAGGGAGCAGAGGCGTAGCTGTGACTGCAAGCGGATTTGCAGGGGAATGAGGCCACTTCCCAACCAGCTGGTGATCCCAGAACTGGAGAGGCGAGGCAGGGATAAAGCGGCAGATGACCAGAAGCAGGTAGAAGCCATTAGGCTGACAAGCATGAGCAGCCCTTCCAAAGGCAAACGGATACGATCCACAAGTTTAGAGTCCAGAGAGAACCGGTCAGATCCAGAGAACGACATGTCCTGTTTGACAACGTGCGCCTCCCGAGGGGAGTGCATGAGTGCACCCCACTACAGGAAGCTCTTGCGTCGCTACAGTGTCAGTGAAATAGATAAGACTGATAGGACATCCTTGTCCTCTGATGTCTACCAGAACATCTACACAACCAAGCAGAAAGGCCCCCAGAAAGAGCCTGAGCCCACCATCCTCTGTCCTGTTCTGAAGAGCAAAATCCAGGAAGCCTCTGGAGTGGCTGACCCCTCCTACGTGCAGATAGCACAAGACAAAAAGAACCAGAAGGGTTCAGCAGTGTTCTCTGTCCAGGAGGAGATGTATCCAAGTCCTGCTGAGCTGCGGGATGAAGACATGGAGGATGAGAAGTGCTGCTCCATCCGGTACTGCTTCTACTACAGAAAATGCGATGTTGCAGATGATGGGAGCGAGAAGGATGAGCTGTCCTATTCCATCCCCATGCAGATACTCCCGGGAATGAAGCTGGACAATCAGATGGTCCCAGTCATGAGCAGAACTCTTCAGGTCCTAGATGCAACAGCCTGCAGCAGTCCCAATGAGAGCCAGACCCAGGAAATAGATTTAAGGACCTCCAGTTTTGAGGGGAGCTTGGCAAAGATCAACACCCTTCGAGGCCATGCCTACAGCTTTCCCAATGGGTTTCTGCAGGTGCAGCTAGACACCAACGAGCTCCTGACCATCCTGAGGCAGTGTGTGCTGAGCCCTGAGGTCCGGGACTGCAAACCCTACATCTCCCAGCTGGCTGAGTACAAGCAGGAGCTGGCCCTCAAGTTCAAGGAGTTCCGGGCGTCCTGCCGCCGCGTGGCCGCCGTCGACAAGAGTCCCACCCACATGCTCTCCGCCATCACGAGCAGCTTCCAGGTGCTAAGCAGCCTCATCGAGACCTTTGTGAGGCTGGTGTACGTCGTGCGCTCGGAGTCCCAGCGCCAAGAGCTGCTGACGAAGGTGGAGGAGGTGGTGAGAAACTACACCTTCCTCCTGAAGGCTGCCGAGGAGTCCACGGCCAGAACGCTGAGCCACCAGCAGACTGTGGAGCAGCTCGCCCGCCAGTCAGCCACGGTCGCCACGGTCATGAGCACTCTGACACGCTCCCTAAAGACGTTGATCAATAAGTAAAGCCAGCTGTGAAGACCAACAAGCCAGTGTGTGCCAGGCCGTGCTGTCAAATCTCACAGGTCTGGTGAGGATGCGATGTCTGCAGGCCCACGTTTACCGGGGTTTGCGATAGCCAAGACACTTGTCGATCTCTGCAGAATGGATGGTTGTGTTGGTGATGGGTTTGAAGGGTGAATTCATGCCCTGTCACAGCTGTCAAGGGGCTCAAGCAGCTTCTCTGCTTGTTCTCCCACGCTGGCTTGTTGGTGACAGCATGTGGGAGGTACAGGCACCCCATCTCCACACCAGTTTGGTTCCGTGGGGTTCTGGGCCTCGCTCGTGCAAAGACCTTTGTTACAGTTTGTGGTGGGCCAGTGAGCTGTCAGGATCTGAGCTGAGATCTGGCTCCACCTGGGCAGTCTGGAGCCAAACCAGTGTCTTGCCACGTAAACAACCCTTCTGCCTCCAGGATCTTCCTGGCCCACAAACACAACGTAATTAGCAGCAGAAGGGATCTCTGGGGTGCAAGTCCCCACTGCTGTGCTGGGGCTTGGGAAGGTAGTCCTAGCATGGGCAGGTTGCCATAATCCTGGGACAGAGCTAGGGCACCCTACTGGGCTCTACTGTCACAGCTTAGGCCGCAGTGCTCTAGTCCTGAGCACAGGCACTGCCTGTGCCAAAGGCAAGGGCTTCATGCCTGCAGGTGGGGAGGATCCAGTGAACTACAGGCCTGACAGTCCAGCCTCAGTGCTGAGAAGGTCGTGGAGCAGATGATCTTGAGTGCCATCACATGGCACATACAGGACAAGGGGATCAGGCCCAGCCAGCACAGGAGAGAGGCAGGTGCTGCTCAACCGGCCTGGTCTCCTTCTATGACAGGGTGACTCTGTGGGTGAAGGAAAGGCTGTGGATGTTGTCTACCTAGATTTTAGTAAAGCCTTTGACACTGTGTTCTTCAGCATTCTCCTGGAGAAAGTGGGTGGATAGAGGAGCCCCAGAGAGTGGTGGGGTATAGAGTTAAATCCAGCTTAGGCCATCACCAATGGTATTCCCCAGAGCTCAGTGCTGGGGAACTGTTTAGTATCTTTTGAAGGCACCCTGAGTCTGGAGATGACACCAGTTTGGGTGGGAGTGTTGTGCTGGAGGGCAGGAAGGCTCTGCAGAGGGATCTGGACAGGCTGGGTCCATGGGCTGAGGCCAACTGTGTGAGGGTCAGCCAGGTCCTGCCCTTGGTTCACAACAACCCCCTGCAGCTCCAGGCTGGGCAGAGAGGCTGAAAAGTGTCTGGAGGGAAAGGCCCTGGGCTGGTCAACAGCAGCTGAACATCAGCCAGGTGTGCCCAGGTGGGCAAAAGGCCTCTAGAACCTGGCCTGTCCCGGCCATGGTGTGGCCAGCAGGACCAGGACAGTGACTGTCCCCCTGACTGGGCACTGGTGAGGCCACTCCTCAGATCCTGTGTCCAGCTCTGGGCCCTCACCACAAGAAAGACACTGAGGGGCTGGAGCATGTCCAGAGAAGGGAAAAGAGGTGAGAAGGGTCTGGAACACAAGTCATATGAGGAGCAGCAGAGGGAATTGGGGGGGCTCAGCCTCCCAGGAGAAGAGGAGGCTCAGGGGGAACCTTCTGGCTCCTCACAACTCCCTGACAGGAGGGAGCAGCCAGGTGGGGATTGGTCTCTTCCCCCAGGTAGCAAGTGACAGGATGAGAGGAAAGGGCTTCAAGTTGTGCTGGGGAAGGTTTAGATTGGATGTAAGAAAAATTTCTTCACTGGCAGTGGTCTCAGGCTGCCTGAGGAAGGGGTGGAGTCACCATCCCTGGAGGTGTTTAAAGGACATTTAGTTGTGGCATTTGGGGACATGTTTTAGTGGTGCACTTGGAAGTGCAGGGGGAATGGTTGGACTCAATAACCTTAGAGGTCTTTTCCAACCAAAAGAATTCTGTGTTCCCCCTCTGGATGGCTGAATCCATGCTAGAGACCCTGCAAGGAACCCAGATTGACTGATCTTTGACCACTGCAAGCCAGAAGGTGGGCTAGCAGCTGAGGGGAGACCACTTTCACGCTATTCTCCAGAGGTTATGCCCCCAAGGCTCAGCCCAAACCCCCTCCTATTTCTTTTCACTGTGACCATCAGAGAGGAGCCCCAGATCAGCTTTGACCGTGAGCCAGGCAGGGGCTGTCCTCCTTGCCAGGGTGTTGGGGTTCTTCTTCTGTCTTCATCAGGCTGACTGCCATAAGAAGCATTATTTAGTTCTGTGAGGTGGTTATTTACTTGGAGTTGAGTTTTTTTGATTGTTTTGGGGTTTTTGTTTTCACTTCTGGGTGAATGGTGAAATGATTCCTAATTGTGTTCCTTCCCATCCCAAGGTTCCCCTCCTCCTCCCAGTCTAGTAATAGACATAACCAATGAGACGGCCTTAACTGGTGTTTCCCTGCATCCACCTACCCTCCAGAACAGAGCAAGGAGAGAAATGCAAGGTCACACATTGCATTGCCCTCACCCTGCCACCCACTGCAGTTGACATCCCGCCGGGGTCCCGGTGCCTGTCCCTGTCACACCCTCTCCGGCTGGGCAGGAGGTCACAGCATCGGCCTCACGGCACTGAGGGCAGTTGTCCAAGCCAGCCAGCTCGCCCCAGCCCTTGGGGATGATCAGGGATCTCCGTGCGAGCAGTCGCTTCCCATCTCTATTATTTTTGATAAATATGCACATTCGAAATGTCTTGTTCTTCCATAGGAGCTATGGAAATGCACAAATGTGCTTTTAACATGCGCATCCTTGGAGTGCAATAACCTCCCCTGGCCCAAGGCTGTCCCGGACTGGGGCCGTGGCTGTCAGCAAGGCACAGAGGATCCTGCTGTGGGGACAGCCTCCTGATTCCAAGAACCATGTAGCAAATATCCAGTGGAAGAGCCAATTGGGACTTCAGTCCATGGTGGGCAAGGCCTGTTACAGTGCTGAAGGCTGACAGGGAGACGTGTTTTCCTTTTCCCTGGGAATTACCTAGTGTGAAACTCCGAGTTTCTTCAAAGTTCCCCATTATGCCTATATCATTCCTCCATAAATCTCTCAGTCTAATACAGAGGAAAATTTTTTTATTGTCTGTATATAGTATATATATAAATAAAAAAATATATAAGTTATATCTATATACAAATTTATGTCTTGTTTTACAAACAAGAAAGATTAAATATATTAATCTTAATATCCAAACAAGCATTTGTGTCTTTTTTTAAGAACTTTGTGGAAATGTTGCTGTTCTTAGATGTACAGGACACTGTTTGTAAGCAAAACCTATTTTTGTTGCTGTAGAAATGCAAGGATCACAGACAGGTTTGAAATTAACTGTTTTGCTTGCCAAGGTCACTTTTACTTTATTAATGGCTGTTCTGGTTTAATTTTTCCCCAGAAGGGGAAAGCAGCAACAGTCACCCCTTCAGTGCTGGCACTGGGCACTGTGGCTGTGCTGGGACACCCTCCTGCCCTAAAGCTGGGGAGAAAGGAGTGATTTAACAAACCCCTGCCTGATCCCTTTCAGATGAGCCCAGGTGAGTGCCCACTGACCAGCTTCAGTCTGTGTTTTCACTCAAGCCTCTCCCTGGCTCTTCTGCCTGGGAAGAGGGGACAGTGTGGACCTGCCATCAGTGGCCTGATGGCTCTGCTGTCCTCTGGGACTGCTCTGGTGTGTCTGCAGGGGAAAGCCCAGCAAAGCAGAATGCCAGACCTGGGGAGAATTCTGAGCCAGGCAAACAATTTCCTAGCTGCAGATGATATCCAGTGTACACGTTTTTGCCTGGCACCATGAACTGCTCTCTGTTAATCAGGGAGGAAGGTGTTGATGTGTATTCTCTCTATACACCCCAAAGCCTCTAGGAATTATAAAAGCCAAGTCTAATAAGGATCCAACCAAAAAAAACAAACAAAAAAAAAAGACCTATAGGAACTGGGTCATTCTCTATACGGGGGTTGAATGTGTTGTCTAAAGCAAAGGCGGCAGCACTTGAGACTCACACACATTCTCTGTGCCTCCGGGCTCGTTATTTTAATCTGCATCACACCATTTGCCATGCTGAACTAACGATGGCACTGAATGGGACCAAGCCCACCTATTTATAAAGCTGGATATGGATCAAAAACATGGAAAAGCCAAGAGGTTTTCTAACAACCCCCAGAGCCTGAAAATGTTACTGACAGCAGGCAGTTTAATCAGCGATTTCAGACTCGGTGCTTAGTACCATCTAGAGGGCAAGAAGCACACTGTCAGAATGTTGTTATTTGTACAGGGATATTATCCAGGAGCAGCCAGATGTTCCTGTGTGAGCAGCTGGACTGGTACATACCTCGGAGGATGATGGTGCTGTACTTCACTCATCTCTTAGGTGTGTAAGGGATTTGTAAATATTCTCAAAGGAAAAGATTCAAGTAAAATGTTCTTGTTAATGGTTCTGAATCACAGATATTTTTTAAAAAATGCATATCAGAACACAGCACAGAGAATTAAAAGTGGGTTTTTTTCCCCAAATCTAGTTCCCATTTCACTGCCCATCTAGTTTATCTCCCTGCAGACTGCCTGGCTCTCATTTAGCACCAATACTTCCTCCACCTCAAAGCCACTGTGCCCCAGGAAGTCAAAGCAAGCTAAAATACTGTGTGATAAACCGATTTTTCTGCACCCCTCCCACCAGAGCAGTTTGTCTGAGAGTGGCAGATTGTGTTTACTGCCCTTCAGCACCTTCTCAGAGCAAAGCCAGCAGCACCTGCCCTTCTCATTGCCCTCACCCTGAGTGTTTTGCTGTAGCCTCACGGCTGGTGCAAATTTCCTCCAGGAACTTCCCAAGCTCCCGAGAGCACGGCACAGCCATCAGCATCCTGATGTCCCTGCACCCCGAAAATCTGCTCCTCCTCTAATCCATGTCTGCTCTCAAAGTGTTCCCACCAAGGCTCTGTCAGTGACCATGAATAGGAACAAAAGGAACAAAATTTGGGCTACTGCTGGTCCCTGTAATGCTCGGAAGACCAGCAGAAGAGCTGGTGTGCTGGTTTGTGTTGGGGTAGAGTTAATTTCCTTGACAGCAGCTGCTGTGGGGCTGGGTTTGGCTCTGTGCAGGAAACAGGGCTGGTAACACAGGGATGTTTGAGTTATCACTGAGCAGGGATTACACACAGCCAGGGCCTTTCCTAGTCACTGTTACATGTCACAGAGCCCTGCCTTCCTGGAACTCCTGCCTGCCATGGGAGGCACTGGATGAATTCCTTGCTTAGCTTTGCTTGCTTGTGCAGTTTTTACTTTATCTGTTCAGTTGTGTGGCGCTGCTTTGCCAGCTTAGGTTAAACCTCAGTACCTGGCTGTCAGGGGTTAAAGGGTCAAAGGCAGAGGCTGGAAAATCAGCAGGCCTCAAGCAGCAATCCCAAGATAAGTTTTATGTCTCCATGGACTTTGCTGGTTATTGTCAGCTGGAGACAACAACTGGGCACCATGGCTGAGAGCACTTTGAACTCTAATCCCCATGGCGGAGCAGTCGCATTCTCTTGTGGGGATTTCCATCCTCTCCAAGATCTTGGCAACACTACAGAGGACTTGCAGGAGCCCCAGATACAACAGCAGAGCAAGCTGAATAGCTGGGACCCACTGCTGCTTTCATCATGCCCAAAGGAGCTGACAGTCAAATGGAAGTGAGTAATGTTTCAATTTTATCCTCATTTAAAGCACAGTGTCTGGATTCCTGAGTGAAATATCCTAACAAATTCCTCACGTGGGCAGTCACAGTGGGGCTGGGCAGGACACCTATGGCTTTCTGTGGACATGGGAGAAGGCTGCCAGGGAACACAGTAATCTCAGCCTACTTACAGCACCCAAACATACCTAATATACACAAAAACAGTCTGTACGCTTGATAGGAAATTTTTCTAAAGGTTTTTGTGTCGTGTTATGTAATTCCACATCAAGGCACAAGCAGACACCTCATCCCACTACAGCTGCTGCACAACCTCCCAGGCCAGCTGAGATGGTGCCCTTGCTGTCACCTGTCCCCCACATACAGAATGGATAGAGGGGGTTTTCTGCAGCTGGACTGGTAAAGTTATTAAAAAGCAAACACACCATGCCCAAAGGGGCAGAAATTCCAGTGTTGCCCCTCAAAGATTTGTTTCCCCTGCTGAGGGCTGGTGAGAAGATGAAAGGGCTGGGAACATGCACCAGGTTGATATTTTACAATGCTTTACTAAATCCCACTTCACCTCTTCTTAAGGCAAGACAGATCATTGCTCATACTTTTACCCGGGCTCCTTAGAAAGGCACATTAAAAACGGTGAGTGGAAAGATCAGGAACACGAAGGGAACCAGTCAGGATCTTTTAAAAACAATCTCTAAGTCTGTACTGGTTCCAGTGGAGACTTGACAATACCATTAATTTCCCAGAATTTTTGCCTTTTCCTGACAAATGGTGTGCTTTTCCTTGGTGGCTGTGGTCCAGCAATGTCCTGTAATATTTACAGTGCGAAGGGTGAGCACCATCCCTAAACTTTCTCCCTCTCCTCTCCTGCCCTCCTGTCAGTCTCTCATCCCTTTTCTGCATCAGCTTTCAGCCTCTCTCCCCTTTTTAGCCTCTCTTTTTCAGCCTTTCAACTTTTTTGGCATTAATTTTTTTTTTTTTTTCTCAGCCTCTACTTTCTTATCCATCCTCCCACCCTTTCTCTACCTCTGTTTTTCTTTACCTTTTTTTTACCTCTAATTTTTCCCGGCTCCTACTTTCAGCCACCAAGGCAAAAGGGCAGAGCCCGGTGTTATTTCCATCAAGTGCCATTCATTAACAGAACCGGCTGTGAGGCAGTGAAGTCACAAGGCAACAGAAAGAAATAACAGCCCTCAGCCACAGGCTTTTTGCATGAAAATGTGCTCTTGATTAGTGGCTGGTGGTAATTGAGTGGCAATTGTATGCAGGAAAGTGCCAAGAGGGGGACGTGGGCTTCTTGTCTTGATTGACATCGCCATGAAATTTGATGCTGTCAATGTGCTGCTTAAAACTGAGAATGAATTTTGAGAAAATTCATTCTCAGCTTGTGACACACAAAGGTATTCCAGATTTAATTGAACCTCCTCAGAATCAGGTAAGTAAAAAAAAAAATAATTTTGGGGCTGTTTGTGTATTTTCAGGTTCTCCTTAGTTGGACAGTAATTTGATTCACAATTTACAGAACTTGATGGAACACAGCACCTTAGGCTATGAGCTTATCCTTTCTGCTTCTCCAGGCCAGCTTGTGCTTGTATGTACCGTAAACCACAGGAAAATTAAATAAAATCCTTTAGATTGAAAGGAAATAATTCAATTTATTGTATTTTGCTTTCAGAATGAAGCATGCCAGCTGTGATGAGGTGCTTTAATTCTGATTAAGGGCATCCACACAAGAGCTGAGACACCCCAATGCCCTTTCACGATCTGTGATTATTTTTATGATCTGTGATCATTTCCCTGAGCATCCTCTGACAGAAGACCTGACTCCCAAGACAGTGCGAATTTGGTTTTCAATGGATGCAACCACACAAGTCTCTCCTTTCATCCCAAGAACCAGATAAACGTCTCACTCTTCAAAGCTCCTTTGCCTGCATGGCAAAGCTGGCTGCTCGTAGACAAATTGTGGCTGAGGAACCTCCTGAGCGAGTTTTTGGCTTTGTTTAACTTAGACTTTGGTGCATTAAGAGCTTCTCCTTAAGCAAGTCCCTGAGGTTATCCTGTTCCAAGAGGCGTTAGTGGAGGTGGACTTTTGTCCTCAGGAACAAAGCGCTGGCTAATCTACAAAGGCACGGTGGAGGCTGAAATCCTGAGGGAAGCAGGTAGGTGTGAAAACACACCTGGCCACCAGCTTAGACAGGGGGAAAAACAATATACCTTTGATTTTACACATAACAAGTTGCCAGTTCCAGGGATTTTTATTTTTATTTTTATTTTGGTTTTGGGTTTTTGGGGTTTTTTTTTGTTTTTTGTCGGATTTCTCACTCCTCCAAATCGCGTTTCTGTGATGCCAGGAGGAACATGATAGGAAAGCTACTTCCAAATTGCTGTGTAGGGAAGCCCAGGCAGGGTTCATCAATTTAGAGGCATAATTTGCATGTTTATATATACCCTCTGCTGCCTTCAGCCTCAGGGTCCCAGTGCCTGCTTCACAAATAAACTGAGGGGAACCTGGGATGTTGAGGCACAGAAAACTCTCATTCTGTATTCAAGAACAGGGAAGAAAAAAAGGGGATTTAAAACAAGAGTGAAGCAAAAACTTCAAGGTGTGGCCCAGACCAAAGGCCAGGAGTCAGCAGTGAATGGCTGCAGTGATGTGGGTCTGGGACAAGAACGTGTCAGCTGGAAATTTGGGAGGTATCCACAAATCCCATCACTTGAACCATCAGGTAGCCACTCACCAGTGAAGTTTTCTTCACTGCTAAGAATAATTTTGTTAAAATGATTGTTCTTTGTTAAGATGAGCAGTGATTAGCAACAAATTAGAAGCAAAGGGCTGTGTTCTTCCTTCCCCATTCCCTGGATGTGTTGTCTTTCACAGCATCTTTAATCTGCTACAGCTACACCAGAAAATAATCAAAATTACCAATATTAATATTCCAGTTCCATCTATGCAAAGCATGGGAATCAATATTTTAATGCAGATGAATTCCTAATTTAATTACACCGTAAAAAGTGTAAAAGAAAACTTCCTCAAAGTTTGGTTTTATAGTCATTAATTTGCAGGTCTTTGGGGATAATGGCAGCAGCATTTGGGGACCAGGAGAGTTTTAAGAAAATAAAGAAAATGTGGCCAGCCCCCCACCTGGTTTGTGGATGGTTTCTTCTAGTTGAATTCTCAAGGACTCCAAGCAAATCAATGTCAAATTCACTGCAGAAGTTTATTATCTCTCAGAAATTCAGGTAACACGAGTAGAAATCGCACAACAGCATGAACATTCTGAAGGAGCTGTCTGTGGCTTATTTTTAATTTTTTTTTTTTTTTTGTCTATTTATATATATATGTGTCAATCTGTCTCCTTCACTTTGTGGGGAAAATAAGAAGCAGAGAGAGAGAGAGTGAAGTCATGGCTTGGTGTCATCATTACCCTGGACTTGCTGGTTGTTGTGTGTCTGACAGAAACACAGAAATGTGAGCAATAATCAATTCCTGCATTTTCTGTGATGAACCACAGGGCCTTCTCTTTTTAAGGGATTTATAATACAAGTTAAAATTTGAGTACCATTTCCTTCAAAGTAGTGAAAAGTGATTTGAGATAATTAAATATTAGAAAAAGGACAGGACTATATTGGCCTATTAACAACTGGAGACTGGATAAAAAATTTAGAGTGAGAATAAGCCACTATAAAAATCATAGTGGTGGGATTCTTGGGGGTGTCCTGGTGCAGAGCCAGGCGTCAGGACTTTGTGATTCCCTCTCGGCCCAGGATGTTCTATGATTCAATGATACCCAGGTTTAAAGGTTAACAATCCAGGTTTAAAGGTTAAAAACCCTTAAGCACGATGTTTAATTTCGCTAAAGAAAAATTAATGTGCATGATGCAGTCACATACAAACCAATAATTCACAGAAGACTGGTATTAGACTATAGTTAGTTACATATTTATATACATTTAAGACAGATACATACATATATACGTATATGTATCTATATATATATATATATATATCAGTATATATTTTGGTATGGAATTGGGTACAAAATCCCGACCATAAATGTAAAAACCCCTCAGGAATTAACCAGCCTGTTAAAATAGCAGCCCTGATCCGAAACCAAAACAACCTTCGAAGGGCACGGCCGGGGCCTCCGCAGCGCCGGGCTCGGCACTGCCGGCGGTGCCGGCC